GTTACAAAAGATTTCTATTTCAGATAAATGCTGTTCTTCTGAACTTTTTATTCATCAAAGATACCTGAAAAATTCTACTATGTTACTATGTACTAAAGTTTATGATAATACATGTTTTTTTTTCCTTTCTTTTTTTTTTGGGCAGCAAATCAGAATAATGCCTCATAGTGGTAGTACATGCAGTTATCCATAACCATAAGCTCTACTCTTCTGCTCAATGGTAACGATAGAAACTTCAACATAATAGAAACCCTTTCAAATGTCAAACATTACTGAACATTAAACATTATTAGATGTTTCCCTTTACTCAAAAACACATAAAGTACACTTAATTTCAATATTTGCTCTCCATATCCATGTGTGGCAGGTTTGTGGCAGTTCACACCCAAGTCTATTCCACAATGCTATTGGTTGCTTTCTCTTTTTTTCACCTTACCTTGAATTCCTATTGATGGATTACTGAAAATGTGACTAGCAGTTATTTAAATAATGTTATGTCACTGTTTGATGTTTGCACAGCCTTTGCCCAAACAAACTCTAATTAGCTTCAGTTTTCGTGTTTTAATATAAAGTATTATATGCATCCAAAAAATAGCCTGTTACTCGAGTAGTTATCATTTTGAATGATGAGGAAAGCAATTTAACAAATGTTTTGTTAATTTAAAAACGGCTACACAGCAGCACTCATGCTATGTCATGGGTAGTAGAAACACAGAATGTGTGTAGTCTTGATTTGCAATCATTAGTAATATGTGCTTGTTTCAATATTGTTTAAATATTCCAAATATTGAATATTTATAATGTAAAGAATATTGTTTAAATATTCAAAATAATATCTGATGTATGATATTCATTTTTGTTATGCTAATGCAGGGGTCTCCAACCCTGCTCCTGGAGAGCTACAGTCCTGCAGATTTCAACCCCAATCAAAAACATCCTGAGCCAGCAAATCAAGGTGTTCAGCGTTACCTGGTAATTACAGTAATGAGTATTTTAAATAGAATATAGGTGTGGTGAAATAGTTAAATCATGTTTTTTGGTCTGTCAGCCATATGTCATCAGCCCTTTACAAAACTCAACCATAAAAGAATTACATAAATGGGGCTGTTTTTATTATTTGGCTCACTATGGGTGGAATTATGGCACTGTATTGGTTCAGTTCTGATTAAAAAGATGTGAACCAGATTTGGGCCATCAAACTATTCTGGGCCACACTTCAGCTGTTTATTTGGGCCAGATCTGTGCCAAAGGAAATTTGCTTGACTAACAATAGCAGTACATCCAACATTTCTTCAACAAAAAACTACATTAAGCAGCAAAAATGTACACAGCCAAATGTCTTCCAAAAAAGTGGCCAAATGTGAAAATCTAAACAGCTCCCTGAAGCAACATGTAAACATTAAGCCACCATTTCTATAATTCAAATCCGTTAAGGGATTGTTAGACTGCATTAATTAGGTCAACCAGAACCGGAAACACTTCCCATAACAGCCGATGTACTCGCTACATCGTAAGAAGAATGGCATCTACGCTAATATTAGTCTCTTTCATTTGTAGCGTCTGGACCAATCAAACACACAATATATATTTTGTTTTTATATTTAACAAATACTCTGTACCCCCCCCTCAGTAAACAAGCCATATGAGGACCCATGAACCCTTCCCCCCGAAATGCGTAACACCCCAGGAAGCCGAACAGGCCCCTGGTTGCATGGCAACCAACGCTGATATCACTGGGTTTATTGGCCAAAAGAATGCAAAGCAGGGAAAATCCCTGCATGTCCCAGGGCAAGAGGCAGAGTAGAAATTTACTTTTCTACTAATTAATTCATAGGAAAACCTTTCTTTGAATGAACACACATGATCCTTCAGGTCATTGGGTTCATAACTGGAGTCACTTAATCATGCAGATTTATGCTACAAGCTTTTGTAGAATTGTACAGTAAGAAAGTTATTTCCCTTAACCAGGAAACTAACGTTCTTAGAATTGACAAGACAGTTGACCCTGAGAGGTCAGCTAAATATCTACAGCGGATCGAAAATATGAATAATTAATTATAACTAGTTATGGTTAATTATTCATATTTCTTCATGAGCTGATTCGTTACACATTCTTATTCCGAGGTCACCGTAGCCATACGGATCCAGTCTGTATCCAGATCAGATGGTGGATCAGCACCTATAGATGACGTCTACAGCCCTGAATGTCAGCGGAGACTTTGTCAACTAGATGTGCCCCAGAGACAGATCCCCTGCAAAGACCTCGTCACCTCGGCAACCATCGGCACAAGACCACGGGAACCAGACGAGTCCTCTGCACAATCTGACCTGTGCTGCAGCTTGGAATGAAATCACACCATGCTGGTGTCATCTGGCCAGACTTCAGGAGCCTGATCGAGACGGTGCGCAGCACATCGCCCGCGACGAGGATCATCGTGTCAGGACCGCTTCCCACGTATCGACGTGGACATGAAAGGTTCAGTAGACTTTTTGCTTTAAATGAATGGTTATTGTCATGGTGTAAAGAACAGAAACTGCTCTTTGTTAATAATTGGAATCTTTTCTGGGAGCATCCTAGGCTTTTTCGCGCTGATGGCCTGCACCCCAGCAGAGTCGGAGCGGAACTCCTGTCGGACAACATCTCCAGGATGCTACGCTCAATATGACTAGTAAGTCAAATCTCAAATAACTGCCATGATGACTTTTGTTCTACCTGCTTAAATGATAGAAGTACTTGTGCTGTCCAATCTATAAAGACTGTGTCTGTTCCCCGAATAGTGAGGTCAAAATAGAAATTTAATGCAGGATCTAGAAAAAATCTGATCGTGATTAAACCAGAAAGATGTCAAATAAATTAACAAAAACAATTTTTAAAGTTTGGGCTCCTAAACATTAGATCACTC